TATATATATACACACACACACACCATACAGTACAAAAATCAATGTATATGAAGGTGCATATTAGTGATGGCAGTGTAGGTGAATTGTCCAAGTGACTGATAACATCATGATGTGTTATATAGTCTAACTGCAGTTGGAATGAATGACCTATGGAAGCGCTCCGTCCTGTAGCGAGGATGTTTAAAGTCTCTGTCTGAAGGAGCTGCTCCGCCCCCTCACGGTTTCATGCAGAGGGTGGTGGGGGTCGTCCTTGACGGCTGTCAGCTTTGCCAAAATGTCACGACTTAATAAAATATGTTAAAACAAGTCCTTTTCTTTACTGAATTCCTCTGCAAAGTTTCTTTTTAAAACTCCACCAATCACATTCACTCTATTGGTATTATTTATTATGACCCCAGCACTCGAAGCGGGGATCATATTGTTTTCTTACTGTTTATTTTTTACTTTTTTGTTCCAGTGATTTTGTTTTGTTTAAATGAAATGAATAAAGTTATAAAAATAAATAAATTAAAAACATTGACCAAAACACCTCCTGAGAGCCCATAATACTTTTCTGATGTATCATTTTCAACATCTACTGACAGAACTAAGAAGAGAAAAGCTGGCAAGAAAGGAACTGAAAGAGTTTCAGCCGTCAGAAGTGCATACAAAGTTTCTTTTATTCTGAAAGGAAAGAACCAGAGTCCTGACCAAGCATGTTGCCCAAAGTTTAAGAAAGTCCTTTTTTTGTCTCTGTTTTAAAACCTTAATAAATAAAATGAGTGAAGATGTAAAGTTGCTCAGAATACTAAACAAATTAGACATATTGGGCTGGGTTTTTTTTTAGGAAACTGGGAAGGTTTACCAGCTTACGTTACTTGTTTTGCAAAGTTTTGTGGCAAGAAGCTGGTGGAACTGGACGACATAAACACAAATCCTCAGCTTATCCATCTCACCTGATGTTGGCTGAAAAAACACTTTAACAAATYTAACAGAAAGAATAGTTCATAAATTATATCCATATACAAAGTGTGGTTATCTGTTCACAGAATCGAGGGTTTACGAGACCTAACACCAGCTACCTGTCAGAAGCTGATCTAAGTTTGGATTTTGTTTTGTGTTTGTTGTTCATTTGTTCAGTTTTAGGTACATGTAATCTCTTGTACAGTTACTATCAGAAATTCAAACTATGTTAGCCAAATAGCAGACATTCCTGTGAGGCAAGTTCAGACCTCCAGTGCATTATGAAACCTAAACACAAATAATGCTGCCATCTAAAAGGACATGAGAGGTGACTCATTACATTAATTCACGTTCCATCCTGCTCGTTTTCACTTTTGGTTTTATTTATATGATCACATTAATTCAACATAAGCTACACTTGACTTAACTGACAGCTCATTTTAGCCACAAATGCTGTATGTAAACATTTCAGTACCAGCAAATCTTGTATTCAGACTGAAACTACTTTCTCTACAACATGGGATGAGATGTAACAAATTGCCACAAATCTGTACAAGTCATGAAAATAAAATCATTAGAATCTATACATTTATTATTGTGATGACAAAACACTAACAACTGAATGAGTACTTGAAAAACTAACATGTACAGAGGTAGGTCAAGTGTTTTCTAAGTTTTGCTTGAATCTCAGATGTTTTCTAGAATGCAAAATATGTGCAAACTGAAAGTAGCCATCATCAATCTAATCCCAAATCACCAGGTTTCCCTCCCTGGCTTGACTTTGATGAGAAAAGTCTTATTAACGCGTTTCATTTGGTAACCTGTGTTAACGTTTCTAAAACGCAGCACCTACTCATCGGTAAACGACTTTTCTATCTTGTAATAATGCAGTTATTAGGAAAACAGATACACTGGTGTTAGCAACAAGGCTAGTAGCTGTTAAGCTAACCACCGAAGGCCGCATCTTATAACTTCTCTTTCTTTACATAATGACTGCAAGACCATTCGTGCGCGTAATTTACCTTAATATCTCCAACACAGTGACTGGTTTCATCTTTGCTCCAGATTATTTGGGAGTAGCTGCCCTTTTTGTCGTTGTGAAGACCAGCACAGCTAGCATCCTGTGCTCAATATTTACATAGCCAGTTAGCTTCTCTTCCTGAGCTGTCAAAAAGCAGCAGCCGTATTACCCAATAGGAAACTGAGCGAGTCRGGAACTGACCAATTGCAGTAAAGCATATTTAAACCACGCCTACCGCGGACAGGATTTTTATTTTAACAATCAGCAAGAGCATCTGTTCAGCAGTTATGTTCAACATTTCAATGTTAAAGTATGTTTTGATACTTCAACCTACATAAAACTTTGACATCGAGTAGATTTTGATGTTCAAATATATTTTTTAAGTTTTTTTTAGAAAATAAAAGGAAAATAGCTACAAACATTATGAAGGATTACACTATATTCTTTAGAAAATGATGCCAGTGAGAGATTACAG